TTGTCTCTTAAAATGTATGCAGAAGGCCTAAGAAAGCATCTAAGTTCTATTATTTGGTCTCTTAAATGATTCATAAAGGATTCGGCCCCTCAGCTTTCTCTGGGCTTCCGGTGTTTTGAAATTCATTGGAATGGCAATTGACATCAATGACTTTTGCCTTCTGGCTGTTCTTTGTTGAAACATTTGCGTTTCAACCTCTGTTAGCTTGGCAATTCTACTTCCTATTTAATTGCAAGATTTGGCATTGCTGTTTCAGCCCCCGAAAGACCGTGTTCTCTCTTCTTTAGCCTTTCTACTCCCTACTACTCAGTACATTTGTCTATGAATCTCTAAGAAATTGTTATCTTTCTGTGTAATCATTTGTTTTCCTTTAGGCTCAGTCGCTGAAGACATGTTTCACTGGCAAGCAACGTGTCTTTCTTGTTCCAATTCACTTCCCATTTCCCACCAGCCTATCCATTTAAACCACCAAAGGTATTGAAGGATGATGACCTAGCTGTACGTTGTGATACATTACCATATTATTGCTCTCTTCCTTTGGGCCTTTGCCATCTCATTTCTTCCTGTAATTACCTAATCTTGCCCTAGATGTTATCCTTTTGTCAATCATAAGTTCTTCCTCCATTGCTTTGGAAGGACCAGATCAGATAGTTGAGCCATCTTACAAATCTTGGCTTTACTAAATTCTGAAATATATTTTCTTCCTTATTTCCTCTTCGATGTCCTTCATTTCCTTGTCTGCATTATTACATGTGAGTAGATTTTGCTAATACTCCCTCCTTTGTGACGATAGTAGTATTTTTTTTAAATGCATCAACCAAGAGCCCTATTGGAGCTATTTGATCAATTTCATTTTCTAGTAACTTGACGATTAAATATATATTGAAAGAGGGCCTGCTATTGAGTCATTGACCTTGGATATGGCAGTCTGTTGGAAACCATCAGTTATTGTTATGGCAGATGCCTTTTTCAGATGCCTACACCGAGATCTGCTTTCCTTGCTTCACTAAGGTCTGAGGACTGATTGTTGTGGCATTTAATGTGTTTAACACGTTAGAAGTCTAAATAAGGGAATAAGTTTATCTGAATGCTGCCGATTGAAACTTGTCAACTGAGAGTGCTTTTAGGAAGTACCGAATTGGCAAATGCTGAAATCATGAATGTGGTGATTATATATTTCTGCCATGTGTTGCGTGCTATTTAGACTGGTAGAACAGGAATTATGTCCACTTCTTGCTGTTGCTGCTACTGCTGCTAACACAATTTCTGCCCATATTTTCTTCTTCCTCAAGGTTGTTGCTTAATTGTTCCTTGGTTTTCCCATGTTTGATTCAGGACGGAAGTCTTTCACCCGATATTTAGCATTTGCCTTGACATATTGAAGGAGCAGTGCAGTGGAGCCCTGCCCTCACCATTTCGAAGGTGAACTTTTAAAATGAGCTGATCTTATCTGGCTATTAGGCTATGAGATCGAACCTCCAACCTCACGCCCCTGCCCCCATCCTAGTTAAGGTAAATCTGAGGCGTCCAAGTACTGATGTTGTTTGTGAAAACAATCTGTACATTTTTATTTCCACGTAAACATCAAGGCGCATTTGAGATGGTGCATTTCTAGCCTTGGTTCTCTTGTACTTTGAGTGTATATGTCTTACCCCATATATACTTTGAAAAACAATTTTATCAAACTGCAATTTAGTTCCTGGAAACTGCAGTGTTACCTGATGGCCAATCACCAGTTTCATGCTACTTTGTTCGAGGCTTTCCCTAAAGACCTCAAAAGTTTTGTCAAAGACTACAGATTGTTCTTTTCAAGGAAGTCGGTTGGAGAAACCTAGTACCGAATTTTTTTGTAAGTATCCTAAATGCTGCTTTGCATCCTAGAATGTCATCAAATGTTTGGTTCTGTATTCAGAAGTGTCAATGTTGCTCTGTTGTGATCACTATCTGTTAATGTGACCACTACCGCTGGGTGGACAACTGTTCTTATTTCTGATTTCCATGTGCTGCTCTCAATCTGTTCACCATTGACAGACCCAAATCCCAATGACCCTCTGTACCAGAAAACGCGCGCATGAACAAGACCGACAAGGCCAAGTATGAGCGAGCCGTGGGTAATTCAAGTAGGGTTTCGGGTCTCTGTGAACTTTGGTCTCGCAGTTCATATCTGTCAGCGAAAGACCGTCGTCCTTAGATCCGAACAAATGAAGTCTGTAAGATCACCCTCCTGAAAACACATGCTCCTCTACATTGTTTTGCAACATGATGCCATGAAGAAAGACTTATCTGTAACACCATAACCAAACCAAATCTTAACTTGGACAGCTCTATAACAATGGGAAAATGTCATCTGGTTCAACATCTTAACTTTAGGCTGTGGCTTGACTTTGGATATCAACATGGTTGAACATCTTTTATAAATATTATGCTCATTAATGCTTTTGAATAGTGAGCAATTTTGGTTATAAGAAATTTAGAGCTTCATTCTGAAAATATGCTGTTTAGAATATTTACTGGCTTTGTAGAGAACATGACTCTTTGGCTATGATTAATCTAGGACGTAAAATGCAAATTCCTAGTTATCTAATTCATATTGGCGGCAATAGTCTTGAAGTCTTGCTTCCTAGGTGGAAAAATATCAAACATAAAGAACGCACTCTCGTATCCACTGTATGATGTCATAAATAATAGACATACATTCTTGACACTGCAAAATGATTAATTATTTGATGCATAATCTTATATGAAGAAATCAATCATTAAAAGTAGGATCGGTTGCGCGAATTGCCAATCTCTCGCTACGGTTGATAATTCCATACATAACGAGGCGATAAATGAGCCATTGTCTATACAACTTGTACGAAGCGTATAGATTTATGGAGCGAAAAATTGTGAATAGACTTTCAGTTCAAAAGTATAGAGATTGAAAGTGAGATTCAAATTGTTAATAGACATTCGGTTTAAAAGTATAGAGATTAAAATACGTGAGATATTTTAATATCTGCTTTTACATTTGTGCATAAAGCCCAAAATACCCCTTAACACATGTTCCATGTTTGAGGTAATCAGTATGCGTGTTTAGTATGTTTGAGGCAAGATGAGTAATTTCGCTTCATGTTATGTCTTGAGCATATTACTGATTAAAGGTTTTTTTTTTTATGTTTAACTTTTGTATCCCTATAATATATTTCTATTTTTGGACCTAAGCAAGTCCTTAAAAGGTTTCATCTCAATTCTCGTCCGGATCTCGGGATCACCAAGATGTAAAACTTTTAGAGGGTATTCCTTCTCCTTGAAGAAAACAAAAATATAAGGAGGATTGGAAGAACAGGACGTGCGAACATCGGCATGTTAATTAGAATTTGATCTCCAGAGCTCCTTTTTCAAGTATTGGATAAGAGCATACATTTAGTGTGACGGCTACACCACGCAATAATAACACGCAAAACATTACATCAATCAGAAGTCATTGGTTCCAAAATGAAGGCACCGTGCTATCGAGCGAGGCGGCGTAATTGATCTGTCACAACATATTAATTGTCCAATTCGCAGCACAGAATTTTTTTTTGACAAGAAAACATGTTTTATTCCTCTTTTCTGGAAAAAAAAGAAGGCTCGCGCTATTTTAACTCCCTTATTGGCTCCCGACACCCCCTTTGTATTGAATCGATTATATTATTCCTTGCAAGTCTCACTTTTGATTTAAAATAATTTCTTACCTTTTTTCCTCCTTTTTTTTTCAATTTTTACTGAAAGAAAAAACTTATCCACGTCTCTTCCGAACAACTTTTTTGCAAAGTAGTAGCCATTTCCCGATCCCTTCTGAACTTATTCTCCATTATAATAATCTAAGTGACCGCTAATTTTATAATGGAGTAAGGAAATGATAGTTTTATATGCAAATTGTTACTTTATTTCAATAGATCATCCTCATGATTGTTAATTTTTTGACTTCGATTTTTTTGTACAAATTTACGAGAATTTACTTAAAAATTGAATATTGTGGCAGATGTATGCATTATATACAATTTTCTCAAAGATTATTCTCTTATTTGTGCTTAAGTTATTTTTTGAATGACAGTTTTTTAGTAAAAAAAAGAAATATACAACACATCAACAAAATAATTAGTTTTTTTATCTGAAAAAAAAGTAGTTAGCTATCTACCAAATAAACTACTTTTTTGGAAAAGATATACACCAATTATAGAAGAAAACCTAAAAAAAAAAGGAAAAAAAAGAAGGCAAACATTAGTCTTATATCAAGAGTGGCCCCACAATTTAACCTTAATAAATGTTGTTCGAGAGGAGCACAGTAGTTTGTCCATAGTAGAATTGAAACAAAAGAAAAAAAAATAAAAGAGTTAAGAAATAATCTTAAATTAAGAGTGAAACTTGCAAGAGAGACCAATTGAGTTCTCTCCCCTTATTAATAATGTGGTAGCAAAGCTATATTGAGATTTGCCAAATTGATACAAGAACGTTTTCCTAAGGAATCGGGACTTTCCTATGTCCCCATTGTCATCCTAGAAGCTTGTCGAGAGGTGTATTTTGTCTAAGCACGCTTTGCTCCGATGATTTACTCTTTGCCCTCATAGGATCGGGGTAGACCACATGTGTTTCTTCGACTTTAACTCACTTACTGAAAGGATCTTGCTCTCATCTGTCACGGCCCCACACTTCCTTAGCTGCGTACAGCCTGTGTGATAGCACGACGGATAGCTTTATCATATCGGATCGTACCACTTCCAGTGTAAGTTCGAGTGTCTGGTCTATCGAGCAAAATACGCAGAATACTTTAGACACGATAACTGATTTTTGCCTGCTATGACCTCATCAGAAGAGCCGATTGGTTCGATCAAAATAAAAATTCAACCAAAATAAAAATTCAACGTAAAAGAGGTGTCGGGAACCGATAAGGGAGTGGAAATAGCGCGAGCCAAACATAAATAACATTTTGTACAACTGCAAAATCGGCATCATAAATACGTTTGTACATTTCCGCGCGGCCGGAAACAGATAGAGAATAATCGGCGGCCGGCTTTGCTGCGAAATGCAAGAGAGGAGTCCGGAGCGAAGTCATTCCACAGAACCGGTAGTCGTCTCTTGTGCAGTGCGCTCCTCTCTGAATCGAAATCTCCGGCGAGCCGTCTCGCCGGCGTTTCCTCCGACCGGTCAAGCTCCGTCGATGGCGGCTTCCGCTTCAGCTTCTTCCTCCGAGCTTTGACCTTCCCCTCTCTCTCTCTCTCTCGCTCTCTCCATCCATGGCGGTGGCCGCCAAGTCCCGGACCGTCGTCGAGCCCTCCTCAGCCCAGTTCGATCTCTCCGGTCACTCCCGCTCGCCGGTCCGATCCGTCGCCCTCTCCACCCTCTCCGACGCCCAAACCCTAGTCTACCTCGGGACCCAGTCCGGCGCCCTCCTGCTGCTCCAGGTCGTCGCCGCCTCCTCCTCCTCTCCCACCGACGCTCCTCCTCCCCCCTCCTCCGCCCTCGGCGGCGGCGGCGGCGGCGGGAGCGTGTCCTTCCTGCGGAGCGCCGCGGTGGCTCGGGAGTCTCCGGTGGACTCGGTGCACGTCCTCGCGGAGATCGGGAAGGTGCTGGTGCTTTCGGACGGGTGCCTGTTTCTGATCGATTCTCTCCTGGCGCAGCCCGCGAAGAAAGTCCCGCCTTTCAGAGGGATTTCGGCCGTCGCGAGGAGGTTCCGGGCGGGCGGTGCGACCGGGGGCTCTGATTTGTCCGATTACTCCGTGAATGCTTCGGATAATCCTAGCGCCGGCTCCCGGTTTTTGCAGAAATTAGGGAGTGGCATTCGCGCGAACGGGGTGAAAGTCAAAGAAGCGGAGCAATCGAGACAGCAACCCGAAGGTAGCTACATTTTTGCGATTGTGATCGGTAAAAGATTAGTCATAGCCGACTTCAGTGCTATTAGCGAGTCTTTGGTTGTTTTGAGAGAGATGCAATGTATCGAGGGTGTTAAGGCGATGGTGTGGCTGGATGATTCGATAATGGTTGGCACGCATAGTGGATACATTCTATTCTCGTGCATCACGGGGCAGAGTGGTGTAATATTTTCATTGCCAGACGTGGCTAGCTTGCCGCGGCTTAAGTTGCTGCGGAGGGAGTGGAAGGTTCTGTTACTGGTGGATAATGTCGGAGTGATTGTCGATTCGTACGGCCAGCCTGCTGGTGGGAGCCTGGTATTCCGGCGTGGTCTTGAGTCAGTAGCGGAAGTACCTTCCTACGTCATGGTCGTGAAAGATGGGAAGATGGACGTGTATCATAAAAAATCTGGGAGTTGTATTCAGACTCTTCTCTTCGCTGGGGAGGGTGTTGGGCCCTGTTTTGTTGCTGACGAGGAGAATGCGAATGGCAATCTGGTTGTAGTTGCATCACCCTCTAAGGTACGAATAATTCTGATCTAATTATGCTGGACATGATTTTGGATTATAGGAATGTATTCTCGACAGGTAGATTAGGTAAATGTATATCCACTTTTGAGTCATGGCTAAATAAATTGGTTAATCAATGCCGGTAGGGCTGCTATGAGCGAATGGTCTGTCTCATCTATGGAGATTGTAGCCTTAACTAAGTTTCTTTGATTGCTAGAGAGGAGAGGCATGTGATTGATCTTATAGAAGAAACCAGTTAGATTGCAGTATCATATACTTGTTATTAAGATCTTATACTTCCCATTGTTATGGACATTAGATGTAAATGGTTATTTGTGCTGTCCGATTTCTGTGCATTAATTAAATTCTGCCACAAGTTAATGTCTTTACTTTTTTTTCCTTGGATAAAAAGAGCACCATCAAATTGGTAATTAAGCATCGTTTTAAACCGGACGGAATTACGCCCTGATAGCCGAATATATGAAAGAATGTTTAAGCATCATTAATGTTTTTTCTTTTAAGAGTGGATGAGTAGTCGTATGCATTTCTGATTTTAGGCACACTAGGCGTTCTAAGGGAAAGAATCTTTTGAAGGAATAAGATATGGATTAAGTATCTGATACTGACAGAGAAGGAAGAAAACCATTTCTTCATATGTTTTCGCTTATACCAAATATGGAGTAGAACACCTATTTTTTTTGGTAGATCTTATTTCTTGAATGTATAGTGTCTCTACGAGTGTTTGTAAACCTGGACGGGGCCGACTTTTTTAACCGGTTAGACAAGGAACCAGACCATGATCCCGTCAGGTTTTACTCAATCACCCTGACTAGTCAAGAACCGTTCAAACTGGTGTTGACCCGGTTCAACCGATCAATCTTTTGAACTGGTCAACAGTTTTAGCAGATCTTTGACCATATCGTTGACCTTGTGAAAAGATTTGAAGATGGGGCAAGGGGGATTGATCCTCCAGCTTCATGAAAGTGAAAAAGGAATCTTAATTATCTAAGCTGGTAACTCATATTGGTCTAAATGGGTATACTTGGATGTATTGTATGAACTGTAGTTAATTGTCCAACTTGTAGACCTGGTGATTCATCTGGTTGAACCTACCGACTCGAGAACCAGAGATCAGGCCTGTCCGTTGACTGGTCTGGGATTAGAAACATTGGTCTCCATACATTCTACAGTCCTATTGAAAAAGATGATGTTATTATTGACGTGTTAATTTGGCTTAGCCTTAGCATGTGTCCTTCTCGATAACATGGAAAAATAGGATTAGCTTAGCATCCCTAATTTGTTTAAAAATCTCCAAAGTAAATTTTCCATACGGAAACATACTTAGTAATCTCATGTGGACATCTGCTCCTTTGGCAAAGATGTTGCATAATGGTTGTCTCATAGGAAGAGAGTGGATACTGGAGAAAGAACTAGTATATCCTCCTTTCCTCTTGTAATATCTTTGTATGAGCTTGTCATCTACTCTCTTTTGAGGAGTTATCATGTTTAAACTTTGGTTCTTGGTAGCAAAATTTGTGTTGTAGACTACATTTTCTAATGGGATGACTACAGAAAAAGTTGAGTATAAACTTTAGCAATTTAGGTCCACATGTCTGGACAAAACTATTTACAGGCTAAATGTTTTTAGCTGAAAGTTTTTTCAAGGGAAACAATTTTCTCAGTAATATTGTCCAGTATTTATTATGTGCACCAAAAGAGAATTTCTTTCACAAATTTTGGATGGGTGGTCAGTTTGTTAGTAGAGTCTAGGGGTACCAGTGGGCTGGTTCACTACAGGCTGGGGGATATCTGAACCAAACCGGATGAATCATATTGGAAAAAAAGTGGCTCAATGAGGCCCAAACTTGGTATTTAATTGAGATAAACGTTATGGGGAAATGCATGATAGGTAGAGGTTCTCATGTAAAAGCGACTGCCTGATGCTCAAATAGCAAACTGCTTCGCAAAATAGTCTTATAGATACTGGAAGTCAGGATTAGGCCAAACTACACTTCAGCAGGCATGGTTGGGCCAAGTGCTGTGCCATGGCCCATTGGGAGGTGTTTGGATGTACTTTTAGCTACGTAGTGGTTATTGTTCTTCTACAAAATGAATTTGCTTCATTTTGTCATTATTACCTAATTAATTGCATAATCTGATGGGAAAGTAACTGATTAAATTTCTCCTTGGTGTCGATCATTTCTTAGGTGTTTTGTTATCGGAAGGTCCCTTCGGAAGAACAAATCAAAGACCTTTTAAGAAAGAAGAGCTTCAATGAAGCGATATCCCTGGTGGAAGAGCTTGAGTCTGAAGGTGAAATGTCCAAGGATATGCTCTCCTTTGTTCATGCTCAAGTGGGTTTTCTGTTGCTTTTTGACTTGCATTTTGAGCAGGCGGTGAATCACTTTTTGCAGTCAGAGATAATGCAGCCTTCTGAAGTCTTTCCTTTCATAATGCGAGATCCCAATCGCTGGTCACTGCTGGTAGCGGTCATATACTCTTATTACCATCTTGTTGTCTCCATAGTAGTCTGTTATCATTTTTGTTAAAAAAGTGTGTCGTAACATCATGGCGAGAATCCTAGAAAAATGTGTAACATTGCATTCTGTAGCGAAATTGGAAATTGGTTGCTTAGGGCAAATCGAAAGTTCTGCAGAAGCAGACTTCTCGTGGCAAACGTTTGAAGTCTTATGCTGCTCTTTGTTCTGCATTATCTAATGCTGAATTATCAGTACAAATGGAGGTGACTTTTGTCCTTTGTGTGCCCTTGTGCTTGTGCCCGCATGCGTGTTTAACACCATTTTAACAACCTTTTGTCGTCTCTAGTGCAAAGATTGAATTTGTGGAATTTTTTTTATTTCAAAAGAGTCAAAATGAGAGCTGAGAAGACGTAGGTAAACGTTCTAGCTTAGCACTTTGTCTGTAAGGGTATTAGAATCAGAGGCAGCACAATGGCATAGAGATGCTAGGATTAGTGTCTCCTTTCTTTTTAAAATCCTGTATATAATAGAGGGAAAAAGGAAGTGCTAGGAATAATTAGAATAGACAAAAAAATTTTGGAGTAACATTGCCAATTTTCTATTTTCACTGGTTCTCATTTTACTATTCCAGTTGTATATTCATGTTAATCCGATTTAAGAGCTTGGAGTTGTTTCTTGCAAGTACTGGATGAAGTCATGTACATTGTTTTATTATGAACCTGAACAGAAAGCTACATGGATATATACTTGTGCTGAGTAGTGATGTTATCAAGTTTTTTTAAGTTTGGTTCTCTCTCATGTATTAATCTTATAAGCTTCTTGAGTTTCCAAGAGTCTTTGGTGATATAGAGCAGACTAATTTTTTAGGTACCAAGAAACCGATATTGGGGTTTGCATCCTCCTCCTGCACCTCTTGAAGATGTTGTTGACAATGGATTAGCAGTTATTCAAAGAGCTATATTTCTTAGAAAGGCTGGTGTTGAAACTTCGGTGGATCATAATTTCCTTCTGAGTCCTCCCAATAGAGCTGATCTACTGGAGGCAGCGATCAAGAGTATGATAAGGTGTGTCTGATTCTTGCTCCGTCTATTTGTTATTCTCTGGATCTATTTTGTTGTTTCCTGTATATGTTCCTACTTCCTTTCCTTTTAAGCTGCTGATTTTAATGTTAGAATGTCATTTAATTGCATCTTGAGTATAATTTAAATATAATGCAGGTATCTTGAGGTTTCTCGGAAGAAGGATTTGACCTCATCAGTGAAGGAGGGAGTGGACACACTTCTGATGTACCTTTATAGAGCCTTGAACTCTGTTGACAAAATGGAGGAGCTTGCTTCCTCTGAAAATAGTTGCGTTGTGGTACGTTTCTTGATTAGCTTGGTTGGGAAATGGAAACATAAGATATTTGAAAGATCCTTTGAACTGAAGGTTTTGCACATGATGAGAGAACACTTGTGAAAGTTCAAGTTGCAAACTGTTCTTAAGTTAAATTAAGCTTCGCCTCCATCACTATTTTTGGCTTTTGCAATCTGTCCCATCAGATTTGGTGATTATCTATGGAGTCAGCAAACTTACATCTCTCATTGAGTTTGACGAAAAACTTAGAAACTTCCATCGAGATATTATGGAGAGTCTGAATTGAGTTTCATCAAGATTATTTATGGTAGTGAAAATTACTGTAGTATCTTTGATTCTATTGATATTTGTTAAACATCAAGAATGGAAGAGCCATCTAATACCTGTTTTTCATTTCTTGAATGGCCTATTAGGTATCTGCTGAATTATTATACCAAAAAATGGGGACGGTTTTTATTCTCTTTTGGATTTATCAGAGAAATCTCTTGATATGTGCCTGCATTTAGATGAAGCTACTCCTGGAATCGAACTAAAAATGTATTTCTTTAAAAAATAATAACTGTATCATAAGTTGAAATCCACAATAGTCTTATTGATTTGGAAAATATCCTTTTTAAGTCCTCTGGACCTGGAATCATTTTATAAGCCCCACAATGTCACTCCGTCTGGTTGTTAAAATATGATGTGGTATTCTCACATTGTAAAACAGTGCTCCATGTTTAATGTGTTGCAAATTGGAGTTGCTGTTTTCAGGAGCGTGCCTGAAAGATTGACTGTATGATGTATGTGTGTGGTGCAGGAGGAATTGGAGAATCTGTTGGATGACTCCGGGCATCTTCGGACGCTTGCGTTCCTGTATGCCAGTAAAGGCATGAGCTCAAAGGCTCTAGCTATATGGCGTGTCTTGGCTAGAAATTATACATCTAGCATCCGGAGGGAGTCTGCATCTGCTAATGAACTTCAGAATAGGAGTTCAGATACTCTAAATGCTCGGGAGACTGCTGCAAGTGAGGCATCAAATATTCTTGAGGAATCTTCTGATCAAAATTTAGTTCTGCAACATTTTGGATGGGTATGTGGTAATTTTTGAAATTTTAAAGAAACTTTTAACTATTTTTCTACTGTTTATTTTGCAATTGAACCACTAAAGGAGTTTTATCCTGGCATTAGATTGCAGATATCAACCAGGTTCTTGCTGTTAAAGTTTTGACATCCGAGAAAAGAGAAAAACAACTAGCACCAAGTAAGTATTACACCTGCAAACCTTTTTTAGCCTTCAGCAACTAATGTTGGTGTGTTTAATTTTGTACACTGGTGCTTATTGGTCCCTTTGTGCTTTACTTTTTCTCTTTCACCGGCCTTCTACCGGTGCCTTTTAAGTTTTTTCCTCCTTTTTTTCAATAAGTTTTTCTCTCTTTTATTTGTTTATTGCATATCATTGACGCCAGCACCATTGCCATCATCATCATAGGTGTAGCCATCATTGTAATGTTTATCTTCATCATCTTCTTCGACATGGATAGGTTGGAATATTACTTACCTTTACACGTCTCTAGAATTTATTGTGTCAAAAGGGTTGAAGTCCGTGTTGGAGAGACATTATAAAGGGAACAAACTTATTAAAGTCCTAAAGTAGCAATACTTCCTTGTTTTGGGTGGGCGTGATATTCTTAGATTCTAGAACTCACTACTCAACAATCACAATGTGGTCCGCCATAATCATTTTCTTCCCACGATGATTCTTGGTCATCACTTCTTAAGATTGTCGTCAAGTTTCCCTTCACAGATAAAACTGAGAGGTGACTTTAGCAGGAGCTTCCTATCATCTTTTCTAGGGTACTCCCACAGTGTGAACTCATATTCCACTTCTTGGCTGTCTGATCCTCTTTGTTTAGCTCCGAGTCAAAAAGTGGACTCTTTCCATGTTCCATTCCACTATCTCTTTCTATTATAGAAATCTTAGTACAAGTTACCACAAGCCTTATGTGGTACGGTTGTTTTCAGTTTGAGAAAAGACTAAAAGATGATTGCTTTTGGTGCTTTTACACTGCATATCCGGTGATATTTGGTTGTTAAACATGGATTACCAGGTGCTTCAGCAGAGAAATATCATACTTTTATTCAAACAAGGAGGTTTTACTATTTGACCTGCACTTTTCTGGTCACCTCTGTTGTATTCTTTTGGTGCAGCAGCTTCTATGCTTGTCTCCCAAGAATAAGGTTCTTTGCAATAGCTTGACTGCTCAAGTAGTTGCTTCTAGTGGGACTATGTGCATTATCTGAACTAGTTCAGTGAAGTTTGTACTTCTAACCCACTCTGCCGCATAGCCTCCTTGGGTGTTTTCTTAGGCAATCACTTTCAGCACAAAAGAGATTTATGATTAAGACGACATTTAAATTCTAATCTGCTCTGCCTCATGTCCTCCTTTGATGTTTTCTCTGGCTATTAGTCAGCAAAACAGAGATCTTATGATTAAGGCGACATTGAAATTCTAGAATTATTTGATTCGGATTCTTATTGGGCTGTTCACAGATCTAAAAGAGAAACAAAATGAACTGGAACATCTGAGGCTTTGAGCTGGAGCACTTAATCAATATGACTTGATACATATGTATAAATGTTATGCTGGCAGTTTGTCACCTAGCTTAATAGACTTGAAATGGGATTTGACACTTATTTGACGGTTGTCTCCAAGGGCTGCAACCAGTCTCAAAGTGAGTTATCTATGGCTGATATGCATGCAGTTAGTCTTTCCTAATTTATATTCCTGGATACATCTTCAAGGATGCAAATAGGCATGATTATACCATACTTGGTCTGGTCAGAGTTTTCTGTAGAATCTACGTACTCTAAGGCTCCGTTTGTTTGGCGGAAAATGTGACATTTTTGGAAAATGTTTTCCGAGAAGTCATTTTCCTAGAAAATGGCATAATTTTCCAGTGTTCGGTGACCGCCGCCGCCGGTCACTGGCCGCCCGGCGGTAGCCGGCAACCGGAGGCGGCGGCCGGCAATCAGCAGCAGTGGCCCTGACGGCCGGCAGGGAAAGGAAGCCGGCGGAAAATGTTTTCCGCTTTTCAAAAGAGGAAAACATTTTCCTTACTTTTCTTCATGTTTTCACTCATCGAGGGAAAATGTTTTCCGGGGTTAGTTTATTTTTTGCCCCCGAACACCGGAAAACCCAGAAAATGTTTTCCTGGAAAATATTTTCCGAGAAACGAACGGAGCCTAAGTTATGTGAACTCTTGTTTCTGTCTGGCTGTAATTCACTCTCATCTGTTTATAGTGGAACCTTAAGTGTAAAGCAGCATTCCGATCAACTGTGTTTTGTAGATTGAATTCTATTTCTTATTTCTTACACTCAGTGTGGATGGAGTGATTAGGGGGGACTATAGAGGAAGATAAAAGACTAGAAAAAGTATTTCTTGTCTGGTAGGAGGGATTGAGATCAAGGGATTTGGAGGGATTATAGTCTAAAATTTCCTTGCTTTCTTTAATCTTATCAAACCAATCCAGATTTGGAGGGATTGTGGGAGATGCACAATTTTTTTTCTCTCTTCCATATATGTCCTCTATTGTATCAAAAAAATAAAATAACCTGTCATTTGAACATTGCTCCCCTTTAATGAGTAAAACACACTTTTTATTGTGGATTTTCATTTTTTATTTCATGTATTTCTTTTTTTAACTTGCCATGTTGTAATCCTATATCATTTGTTGTGGACGATGCATCTCCAACAACTTTGTCCAAAGTGTTTAAGCATTTTCAGATAAGTCACAAGACACTCCTCATTTCTATTTTTTTTTAAAGTAGTTTTCTTCTGTAACTTTTTTAGGTCGTAAGTGTGACATGCTTTTTTGAACTTGTTTTCATTATGTGCTTTGTTTTTTTTTTTTTTTTTTTGGATCACTTGAAAGCAATGTGTACTTTAATCGTTGAAAGTGCATGATTTCTGTTGGTTCACTACTTTAACATTTCTATCATTAACTCACACCTTGTCGCAAACAAATTAGAACCTATTTATGATGCAATTGTTAGATAAAAATGTATGGACCTTTGTATTTACTACCATGGAGAATTCTTGCTGGAATTTTCTTAATAGTCAAGGTGAGAAAATTTGAAAATATTGCATATGGTTATGGTCATAGTATTTTAGGTTGTTTAGTTTGTTTTGTGTTATAACTATGAATGTGTGTCCTAATTTGTTGGCTTTTTGGGTTGAGTGAAGTGAACTTTTTATGCTACTATATCTTTTTTGATGAGTCAACTATTACATTATTTAATTTATTAAAGTTAATTTTTATCTATTTTTCCTATGATGAAGAAGGACAAAATAGTCATGAAGATATAGTTATATTCCTTTCCACTCTTCTCTCTTCAACCAAACATTATATGACTAAATTCCCTTCATTTCCTTTCTTTTGTTTCATAAGCATCCCAATTACAATAAAATCAAATCCTCTCCTTTCCTTTCTTTTGTTTCATAAGCATCCCAATTACAATAAAATCAAATCCTCTCCTTTCCTTTCTTTTCTCTCTTGAGCTCATTATCCGAATCCTTTCTATTCCTTCCCAATCACTCCATCCAAACCGAGTGTTAATTTGGCCAAACCTCTGTGCTTGTAATTTAAGATTCTGTGGCTAGAGGTAGCTCTGTTTTTCCGCATGGACAGTTTGAGTAAGATATAGATTGGCCAATTATTTGTTATACCATGTAGCTTTACTTCTGTAGTCCTTATTATAAGCTGAAGATGTAAAAGATAGCAGGATATGTTCTTCTCGGTATGGATGTTGTTATGCCCATTATATAATATTATTAACTGAAACTCCAAAATTGGTATGCATAGAGCACTCTTTGATTGTATTGATCATGGTATATTTTTTGTAGGTGAAGTGCTTGCTGCAATTGATCTTAAGAAAGTTGAAATTCGCCAAAGGTATGACAGAATTATTCCGATAAATTATTCATACAAAATTGCAGTGGCAAACAGCCTTGTCCTTTAAGGATTTTTTAGATTTGGGAGTATTGGGGCAAACTTCTTACTACAGTCATTCCAAAAGAAAGAAATAAATAAGAAGCAGTTGAAAATTTCAATGTCGGGACGAGAAAGCAGTGAAAATGTCAATGAACTGACCTCCGAGTTCTTTTTGACATGCTTTGTGTTCTGTCTTGTGGGTTATGACATTTTTAACTCTAGATTTATCCAGTATAGGAATAATCTTCTCTTATACTTCCAATAGCGTATTTGACTTACTTTTTGTGTCTTGTTTAGTTGATTTTTGGCATCTGTTGTTTTCATAGAAACCTTTTAACTGTGTATTAGGCTGTAGTTTAATGAGGATTGCTTTCTCAGGTACCTTCAATGGTTGATTGAAGATCAAGACTCTGATGACACTCACTTCCATACGATGTATGCTATTTCACTTGCCAAATCAGCACTCGAGTCTTATGAAAGGGAAAGTATGTACGGTGAACATGATGTGGGAAACATAGGAGGAAAGAGCACCTATGATTCAGGATCAAATTCAATTTTTGAAAGCCCTGTCCGGGAAAGATTACAAATATTCTTGGAATCCTCTGACCTCTATGATCCATTGCAAGTATTGGAATTGATTGAGAATTCGGAGTTATGGTTGGAAAAGGTTTTGCTGCCCTCTCTCTTTTCTTGTTTTTTAGCTATTAATTTGTATGGCTTGACTGCTTATAGGGCATGGCCATGATGGTGGGACATGCATTCGGCAACTAAAATGAAGGCTTCATATTTCCTCCAATTCATTTAAAGTTCTGTTTACCTTTTACTTTTTGAGTTCGTAGACATGTCTCTTTCTGGTGATTTGAAGCATCATTCGCTTTCTTGTGTGATCTTTCCTCAATTTGAGGCTATGCCACTGTTTATCGTGTTCTGCATTAGGGATATAACAACAGTTACAACCTTTCTTTCTCTTTTTTTATTTTTATATGGATGCATGAGTATTCTAGCTTTTTAAGACGAAAGATGGGTATTTTTACTTGTTGCTTCTGGCTTTTGATACTATTGTGCTGTTTGGCAGGCTATTCTTTACAGGAAATTAGGACAAGAGACATTGGTTCTACAGATATTAGCCCTGTAAGTTCCATAACATTTTCAGTATTTTATGAATATTGTGGTTATCACTTTGTAAATTTTTCTTGGGCCCTTTCTCAATCCCACTATGGCATATTGCCATAGTTTTAATGCCAGTTTTGGTATCTTGGTGGTGCCTTTTGAATGTGGGAGGTGCTATTGCACCAACAACCACTTTGGATCATCACTTTGTACATTAGCATCTTGGTGGTGCCTTTTGAATGTGGGAGGTGCTATTGCACCAACAACCACTTTGGATCATCACTTTGTACATTAGCATATGTGGTTTAGGCTATATTTACTGAATGATTTGTCGAGTCATATAAAGGCGGCGGAACTTTCTTTTAATTATGCTTATCATGAAAAGAGTTAGTTTGAGTTCTTTGTGTTTCGCTCTTGTAATGCCAATGATGGTGTGGTAATTAGACTTCATTTACAATGAAAGAGTTGCATGGTTGATTGATCTATGAAGCTTTAGGATGTCATGAACAACAAAATTAGTAAAACTAATTCTGCTGCATCCTCTGAGTGCGCGCACGTGCGCATGCACATGTGCAGTGTGTTGCTTTTGTGTGCATCCATTTAAGATGATTGTTTACTAAATAGTTGTTGTATGTACGAGGGCTCAGGAAGCTTGAGGACAGTGAAGCTGCTGAACAATATTGTGCAGAGATTGGCAGACCAGATGCCTATATGCAGTAGGTTCTATTCTTTTGCTACTTTTCTTTGGATTCTGAAAGAAGAATGTACAGTTATGATTATGAAAATATACTCTGCGTTCCTCACTTTAATATGATTTAATTCAGCTTACTTGATATGTATCTGGATCCACATGACGGTAAGGAGCCTATGTTTAAGGCAGCTGTTCGGCTTCTCCACAACCATGGTGAATCTCTTGATCCTCTACAAGTACTTGAGGTATTGAGCCCTCCCTTGTTTTCTATATTCTCTCACATTGCTTATTTTACATTGATTTCCTTCAAAATTTATTTGTTGTGGTATTGTTTATGCCATGCTCAGTGTGATGAAACCCTCGATAATGACAGTTTGCTGAAATTTAATAATTAATGTAGGTTCAAAATGCTGATTTGTGTATAAGGATTCTTGGAAAAAGAATCACTGTAAAGCCCTAGTGTAGGAGGTTACATGTAACATTATCATCAAATACACCGGCCTTATCTGTGTTTTCAAACCGGACTGCCAAGTTTCAACTAGTTGAACTGGAAATCAAAGCTGAGTTCCTTCGGGTTAGCCGTCATGGTGAAAACCAGAAATGAATCAGGCACAGTTCAACAGGTAAACTGGTAACCCGATCAACCTGGTTCAAGTGGCTCATAAATTATGAAATTCAAAAATAAACAATTCTTTGTCATGAGTGTGGATCAGCCCAGCAATCTCACAGAAGTGGCTCCACCCCACTCATTTAAATCTCTGTCACTTTCTGATGTCATTTTTTTCCCTCATTTGAACTTCTAAACAAACCTGAAAAGCCAAAAAACCTCAAATGGGCATAGCAGAGAGCTCTGGACGTTATATGTCTTCACTTGCACGCATGTATTAAGTGGGCTAGGGTGAAGTTCTTGTTCTGATCTACCAATAACTTTTTTATAACCCTTGCATTACATGATGAAGTTATCAAATTCTGACCTATCAGTTCAACCAGTTAAACCGGGGTAGGCACGTGAACTGGACTCCTCACTGGTTCTTGCTCTGGACCAGATTTGAAAACACTGGTCCTCATTGATTCTATGTGGAGTTCTTGAGTCAACATATTTTTGGATTAGTAACTTTGGGAAGGTTAAATTAGGAGTAACACTGATGTTTTCCTTATATATGGTTTTATCTTGCTGCATGACATGTTTGAAGTACTTTTAATGTGTATTTTAGGGATATAAAGGCCTGGAGATGTTGCATGGATGTGTGTTGGGTACAGTTCTTGCTACATTGTAACAATAAATAATTGTCATGGACATTGCAGAAATATTTTACACCTAATTGATAATTAAAGTAGGGTAAATTATTTTGGATTTGGTTTTAGATCTGGTCATTTTTGCTAAGATCTAGACACTTCTCCAAGTAGTATATCAAGATACTTCTGTGCATCCTCACTTGGATTGAATACATCTTTTGTTTCTGCTTGGATTAATTGCCTGAACTAAACATTATTATTTTATATGTTGCAGACATTATCTCCAGAAATGCCTCTTCAACTGGCCTCAGATACAATCTTAAGAATGTTGAGGGCCCGGCTGCATCATCATCGTCAAGGACAAGTAAGTTTTAATAATGCCAATTTCCTTCAGTTGGCTGATGTAGGTAATGAAATGTGCTCTGTTAGATTAACCTTGCATGGGATTAAGTTGCTGGTGAACTAATCTATCACATGCTTCAATATAGTTAACAACTGCCTTAATTTATTGCTAAACTCTATTAATTTTCTGTCATATGAAATGGTCCTAAAGTTATTTTCCCCTCTTGGTTTTAAAATAATTTTCTCTTCCGTGTTAATTCCTTTTCATTGGTATAACTATTTTCTGCCCACTACTATGAATACGTCTTGAACATTTCATCCATCATATGCTCCCAATAGACTCACTTTTCACCAAACACTTGGTCCTTGTTGTGATTAAATAGTTTAAAGGTGGTTTCCAGTATAATGCAATACATAGGCCAAGACATAGCAGTTAATTACCGAGTTGTGTGAAAATTGGGTCACAATAGAATATCTGTCAACTTTTTGAGTTTTACTTCGAGCATCAGGCTATGAGTTGGCCTTCCCTACATAAGGAGCTGACAAGAGAAGCTTTGGAGTACATATTGGAAAGTTTTCAATGGCATGATCCTCTGTTATAAGGAATGTCACGAGAACAGTATACTTGGGGCTGGGGTTTTTTTTTTTCAGTTTCAATCCATGTTGATTGAGCATCTATATTTGGCCATAGTTCTATGATTCAAACTGAAAGAGCCTTAATGTTTTACTAACAAAATATCCCATTCTCCATTGGTTTATATTTGTTTGTTTTTTCTTTCTGTTTGTCCTTGTACGTTTCTGATGTTCTAGAACTCTCTTTGTAACATCCTTTATTATCTATTAGAAAACGCACATTTTCCATTGATAGATAAATATGAATGTGGGAAGCATCTTTATAACCCAATTGTTGTTTTTCATTCATTGGTTGTCTCAGAAAATGGAAATCAATTTGATTATTGCTGCCATTTTAGACCTGTTTCACCCTTGTGCTTTTGTTTGATCTTTTATGACAGATTGTACACAACTTATCCCGTGCTGTAGACCTTGATGCAAGGTTAGCGATACTGGAGGAGCGATCACGGAATGTGCAGATCAATGATGAGAGTCTCTGTGATTCATGTCAGGCTCGTCTTGGGACTAAACTCTTTGCGATGTACCCAGATGATACAGTTGTCTGCTACAAGGTCAGTGATATACATTTGTTGCACATCTACCCAATCAAATAAAGAGAGAGATAAACTGCAATCGTTCCAAGATGATGAGGTCTTTTCTAATTCATGAACTTTTCCCACTGATTGTTTTATGTGTGGCAGATACACTCAAATTTCAAAATTATATTAAATTTAATATGATATGTTGTTTACAGAATTGTATTTTGGTTAAGAAAGCAAAAAACCTTTTGACACAATTCTATTATTTTAATTGCTAAAAGTTGGATGTTTCTGCAGTGTTTCCGACGTCAAGGTGAGTCGACTTCTGTCTCAGGACGTGACTTCAAGAGGGATGTCTTGATAAAGCCAGGGTGGCTTGTGACCAAATAACTCTAGATGTGGTATTCGAATTCTTTAAATCATTAAAGGCTCGAGAAGAGGATTATCATTTCCAGTTACTTCAGCGTTCTGGCCTAGAGTTGTATGGAGTCAGCTTGTGGACGAACTGGAAGGTGATCGTCTTTGGCGAGGAACATTGATGACATCTGTGATTTCGCCTTCTGCCATGCTTAAATCGGAAGATTCTGTTACCCATTGGGTATTCACAGGAGGATAATGTAGATGGGTTTTCCACATCGCTCAGGCTGTCTCCATTTCAAGCTGATAACAGCAACAATTTTTGGTCCAACTGAGCCTTGAGTCAGTTTTTCTGGCATTGTACATCTTTCTCAACTAAGTTTCTTGCATTGTCCTTTTAATGTGCTCTTGAAATTGATCCAGTTCAGGAGTTTTCTGTTTATCTGACCCCTTGAGGGGTATTAGGCAATAGATGTTGTACATGATCGATCTATACAAGAAGATGGTGAATAAGCAAAGTGTATAATTACTTCATTCATGGATGTTGAATTACACTGGTTGCAGTTGAACTGCACCTCCTCCGTCTTGCTGTATTGCAAATGGATTAAAGATCTTTTTCCAATTGATCACGTATTTTCCTTTTTGATGGATCGTTTGTCCATGTTTGCTATGTATGGAAACACCATGACTGTGCGCTTCATGTGATTTTACCAGACTCGGCCCTGGAGATCTTTTTCCAATCGATCACGTATTTTCCTTTTTGATGGATCGTTTGTCCATGTTTGCTATGTATGAAAACACCATGACCGTGCCCTGCATGTGATTTTACCAGACTCGGCCCTGGAGGTGATGGCACATCCTTAGTCACTGAGCTTGACATCAAAGCTCAAATCTTGATGGCCATGGAGGAGTCACTGAGCTCAATGCCGGACAAAGGATGCGGGTGACGAGGTGGTGGTTCGGCAGTCATGAAGGAGCCATCGAGAATTCAAGATCAATGCTAGACAATGAGGTCAATGCCGGACAAAGCATGCGGGTGATGAGGCGGCGGTTCGGCAGTCATGAAGGAGCCATCGAGAATTCAAGATCAATGCTAGACAATGAGAGAGAGAGAGAGAGAGAGAGAGAGAGAGAGAGAGAGAGAGAGAGAGAGAGAGAGAGAGAGAGAGAGAGAGAGAGACAGATGTACCATCTCGGGAGGGAGAGACTTGGGCCAGAGAGGACACGGGCGAAGGGGGAGATGTGCGTCGTCGAGGGTGATGAGGTAGTGGCTTGACTTGGGTGGTGACGCCATAGCAGGGTGGAGACGCCTTGATGAGTGTTGGTTGCACCGGGAGGAGAGATGCTAAGCTATGGGTGCATCAGGTTAGGGGTTTTGGGTAGGTGGGATTTCACGGTAAGGGGCTTTGGAATGGTCGGAGAGGCAAAATCAAAAGAAAATGACAACTCCGTAGATGACATGAAAATCATAATCTTTTGTGATGCAGCTTGAGATGGAATCACAAAAGTGGAGATGCTAACGGTAGATTTTAAAAGCTAAGAATGGTGTTTGATGTTTGGTACTCTATCCAGTCAACTCATAACAGGGTAAGCTCTGTGTGAAATTGGATCTCACTAAGTTTTTAATGGGCTTACGGTTTTAGCTATGACCGACATTACTTTAAGCGGTTGACAGAAATAATAGTCATCAAATGGCCAAGTGATGATCTCCTTGATTCAATTTCTTCAGTACCTTGACAGCCAGTGAAATCTACACTACTTATGTTGACCAGTGGAGAGAAATGGACTACTTTCCCAATTATAAAAGATCAATTCAATTTATTCACAAGGCAGAACAAAGTGGACTCTCCACACCACAATGCCTTAGGTTCTTGAGCCGGTCACCGTGCCTCGACACGTTCCCGATTTATTTGAATTACTCCGACTAGACAACACTTCCAGAAAGACTCTTCCAAGCCAAGAACAAGGAAAAGAAGACTCCCAGAAAGACTCGCCGTGACGATATTGACGAGTGGCACCAAGAATTATCAGAGCACACTTCGTCTGACCCTTTTATGCAGTTAACAATATAAGTGATTGGAATAGTGCACACATTTCATAAGAATTTCCATGATATATAGATTCCAGAAAATAGACGGTGGACCGTGCCATTGAACAGCCAGAGAGATTGTTCTACCAGGCTAGCATTACTCAGGCTCATAATTTTCCATGTCCCTCGCCAATGCCAGATCTTGAGTCTGTTAGGCTTTGTAGTTTCTCAAATGAACAACATTTGCGTACGGGAAGAAGTTAATTATAATCAGAGATGAAAGGTTTTTAAAGATGGGGTTCCACAGCTTCCGTTGATTTTTGTTAAGATTGTCTCCTCACATTGAATGCGGTGCTCAAAGCCAAAGAAGCTGTGGAAATGGCAGCTGCTGCCAAGAGGCAATCTTTTTCATCCCCATTCTTCGATTCCGAATGCAAAGGGATTGCACCACAAGCTGTTTGAAGTTTGAGAATTGAATTGAAAAACCAACCTGAGAGCCTGCTATTTTATTGATTTATTCCCGAAGATGAACATCCTATATACGTCGCATACACACTACGAGAATGATACTATTGCAAGGATTGACTACAACAGATGCATAATAAGCAACTATCAGAATCCCCAGTTGAATTTCCTGATTGGGGATGCACAATTCTAGATTTGGGGATAGATGTTAGAATTCAATAACGAAAAGAATATATAGATGTGTCAAAAAAGGGACAAGACGCCATGGAAATGATTCCAGTCCGCTCGTCATGCTAGAGTTGCCCTCTTTCCTTTCGCATCTCTCGACTGCAATGAATAAGTTGTCAACGGATTAATGTGGGGAAGCGTGTGTGTGTGTGTGTGTGTGTGTGAGAGAGAGAGAGAGAGAGAGAGAGAGAGAGAGAGAGAGAGAGAGAGAGACCTGAGCAGCAGTAGATCTTTTTGCATCGAGAAATTCGCTGTAGATGCTATACAGTCTTCTCTTCTCAGCATCTGAGACTGACGGCCTTGCCTTTGAAGCAACGGACTTCAGAAGAGAGTCGGTTATAATTGGCTTTTTCCCATGCTGATCGACCTCCCCTCTGTCGAGAAGATCATGAACAGCTTGAAGCTGTGCATCGGAAAGCAGAGCTTGAAGATCAGCTCCACTGAATCCTTCTGTCATATGAGCTATGGCATCTAAGTCCACATTGCTGGCCAAGGGGAGCTGCACAAGGGCATTAAAGCAGCACTTAGGAAAACTTAAGCGTTGCCCAATGGTTGCTATTTTTACTACCTGATTAAACGGAACTGAAGTTATATAATGAAGTGAATCCACCCAATATCTTCCTAATTACTGAAAAGAAAACAAAAGGAGAGGATGACAATGTTTAGAGAGATTATACTAAATGATAACCAAAGGTAAGTCTTAGTCCTGTTTCATGGATCAGCTGAACAGGCCTTTTTTACTTTTATCACAGCAACGTCAGTAGGTGTTATATCAACCTGAGCCTCACCTGAGCCTCAAGGTCCAAGGTTGAAAGTGATTTACTATTGAACATCCGAACTTACCTGAGCCTCACCTGAGCTGAGCCTCACCTGAGCAGGTTGTACATCCAACCCGCAATGCTTTTTACTATGTTTTCCTCTATTTTACAATGCCTAGGGTGATTTGGCGCAAAATGACTTTTAGGGAAGTCATGGGAGAAGGGATTTTAACTTATAACTTAACGAGTTGCACCAAATGCACTCTGTCTGATGCTGTAAGTTCTAAGCAGGATCTCAGCCGCTCAGATTAACTCTGTTTCTAACTCTTTCTTTTGTGTGTTTTTAAACAATTCTCTGTTCATATGTAATCTTACCAATGCATCTTCCTCGCAAAAGTAGGATTGCGGATATATAGTTCTTTAACAAGTAATCCCATAAATTTCAATAGGTACCACCTGTTTTAGACCATGTCAAAGACGAATTGCTAAAAGTAAGCATTGGCAGATGGATGGAAACAAAGTTTCTACCTTCCTCGATAGAACTTTAAGAACATCCAGCCTCTCCTGTATAGAAGGAAAATCACAAAACAGAAGACGATCGAGCCTGCCAGGTCTCAGAAGCGCAGCATCAAGTAAGTCCGGTCTACTGCTTCACATAAAATGCAACTTCATTAGCACTAAAAGCACATAACTAGACAAATATAAAATAAAGGAAAAGGATCACGATGAAGACAAGTGAATTAGAATTATTAGGTTATAGATGAACCCATGACCCCTGAGGAAAACAAATGAGCACCTCATGCAGCAAAGATGTCATGATATAAATGAGAAATTGCACTATGCTCAATGTCACAAGACTGAAACGATCATAAGGGTGAGCATTGTTCCAAGGTAGAATTTGGAACTTGGAAACCTGATCAATGGAAACCTGTAGATTCCAGGTTCGAAGGTATGCAGGGTAGGTTTCAGGTTTCAAAAGCCTGGAACCTAAAACCCTTCGACAAGTTTTTTGTATTTTTTCTTGATCTAAGTTTTCGCGTGATCCTGCGTTATTCCATGGCAATTAATAATGAGTGTATAATCTGGAATCACTAGTTTGAGCTTTCATTTTATGACTTGTTAATGTTTTATATTATTCGTGTCTCTAAAATAAGTTGTAGTCAGTAGATCGTAGTAGAAAGTGGTGGTCATCAAAAGTGATGATTCACTGCAATTGTTCAATTAATAATATAGGTGGAACCTGGATAGACCCTGAAACCGACCCTGGAACCTGTGACAGGGTAGGTTCCATATTCCAAAAAATGAAGAACCTATTCCCATGGGTAGGTTCCAGGTGGAACTTGTACGGAACCTGAAACCACTCACCCCTAACAATCAACATCAGTTGATGCTGTTGTAGAGGCTCAAGACCAGCTTAATACACTTAGTGTAAGCTACTTCAGCAAATGAAAAGTAATTCACGCAATCCAAACTTTTGTTACCTTCTCTGATACATATGTAGTTTACCCAACACCATGTATCTGAGGTTTAAACAATTTTAAATCAATGAAAAGTCATATGTAGCAGTTTATAGTCTGCCTTGAAGGATTATTACAAAGTCTCCACACTAACTGTTTCCTATAAATTGTTTGCTAAAACATTCATAACAGAAGTGCAATTTCTACTAGCAGCTTATAGTTAGTGTGCTATTGGAAGTAGCACTTTTTGTTACCATGTCCAACAAAATTATTACCTTGTTGCCGCGAAAACAAACACTCCAGTTAAAACTTCAACACCATCTAATTCAGTCAAAAACTGCAGCAAGGAATTACATAACATTAGTAAGTCAAACAATTAAATAGATTTCACATGACCACCTTATAAGTGCTATTGAATGCAAGAAACTAACTTGATTGACGACACGGTCAGTAACCCCCGTATTATCATGCCCCCTTTTTGGAGCAATGGAATCAAATTCATCGAAAAAGAGAAGGCAAGGTGCTGCAGCTGCTGCCTTCGAGAATATATCCCGAACCTGTAATTTTCTAATTGCCGTAAGTTTCGAATATTCAAAACTTCTCCAGTTTGCTGAAAGAATCAATGCAATCCATGTGCAGAATGTAAAATCCAGTACAAATTTAATTGCCGATTTCAAATTCCTAG